CACACACACACACACACACACACACACACACACACACACACACACACGCACACACACACACACCTTGTTTATGAGGCAGTTGAACTCCATGAGTCGGCAGTCCTTCCTCAGGTCATCTTTAGGTTTACACATCATGGTGTAGCTCCGCCCATCTGAACCCTTCAGACTTATCTTCTTAGGCTTCTGTAAGGAGGCCAAGATCTCCACCTTCACACAAACAAAACACATACACACACACACACACACAGGTTAGAGGTACGAGGTATCAACAGTTCAAGATGATTTCTGTGATCATAAAATCTGAATTTCTCAGATAATGCTGCTTTATGACTCTTCGTAATGGTCATTCCTCCTAAAACATTTATGACAACTATCAAAATGATCTTTCCCTCTCTCTTACGTTGTCTTCAAACCCGTCCAGGTAAGCCCAGTGTCCGGGGAAAGCGTCGTGCTGTGTGTTTGCCCCGCCAGTAGAGGGCAGCGTAGGGATGAGGACCGACTGCAGCGGGATCAGGATCTGGCTGAAGGTCGGCTCCTCCACCAGACGTTTTAGCTGCTTGAAGTGAACGCTCATGCTGAGGGTGGTGCTGTTGCCATCCACCTGAAAGACACATTCACAGAAATATATATTCAAGGGGATCAAGACATGTTTATTTGATCTAATCTAATCTAGTCAACCAATAAAATGTGTTGGTCCACATTCACCTCGGAGTATTTTATATCGAGCTTTTGAAGTACGTGAACTGCATCTTTATGCTGTGGCTCCACAACCCATTAAAAATCAGTATGAAACTATGCATTTATGAAATAAATCATACCTTAGGGTGCCATGCAAACCAGAAAACCACGGCACGAAGGTAATAAAATGAAATTAGGCTGTATCATATTTACACATTAGTCATTTTGAGGTTAAAAAATGAATCTTTTTAAGATTAACACTTGACAAAGTATAGTTTACATAACCTTCATAAATCTAAAATTGCCAGGGTTTGGAAGTGAACTTTCTTTTTTAATTCTATGTAATATAATACTATTATGTGTATGTGTGTGTGTGTGTGTGTGTGTGTGTGTACCGGCTTGTTGCAGAGCTCCAGCAGCTTGTCAGTCAACCTGTTGGCATCTCCAATGAATTTCTCCAGAGACTGTTTGAGACTAATTGCTTTCTTAAGGATCTGATTACAACGGTTCATACGCATCGGGTAGGAAGACTGAAAAAAAGACAAATAAAAACACACAGAGTCAGGACTGAATGTGAGGTAATATGTCTTTAGAAAAGCAATTAGTAGACTTGGGACTTTATGCAGGTATTAAATCAGCTGGTCAATCAATCACACAATAAGTATGAGGGATTTGTAATGTTTGCAAAGGGAACTGATCTGACAAAACACATTGTGGCATACACGCAGTATAAAGTATACACTTCTAGTAGATGGTGGTTGTGCAGATATTCAGTGTTTAGGAGTTCTTCACCATGCCTCAAAAGATTTAACTGCAGGCATTCAGCACACAAGTTCCTGATTATCAAGGCAACAAAAAAAACACACACACCCACACACACACCTACCTTGGAGACAGCGGCCATTAGCCACATAGCCTGTTGGGGGTACGCCAGGAAGACTTTGGCCACGATGGTCATGAGGACGGTGAAGACCTCGTCGCTGGAATGGCACACCCTGGAGATGAGCTGGGAGAAGGCTGTGAGGAACTGGTACGGCGCCAAGTTGGCACAGTGCTCGCTCACCACCGTGTTGATTTTGCCCAACTCCTGTCGCATCTGTCTGTCTGCTCGCCCCGCTGTGGTGGAGGGATGTGTGGATAGTGTTTGAAGGTGTTTACATATTGTTTTTTTCTGTCTTCGCTGTTAGGCATAAACTGCTAGTGAGTAGGACAGACACTAGAAGTATCTCATTGCCCTCTGTGTATCTTTATTTAACATTAACAGTCCCTACTGGCCACCCACCTTTCTCACACTCACACACTTTGGCTCCAAAATCCAGCCAGAGAGACAGCATGCGAGGCATGGCCTGGTAGATGTACTGGTTTCCAAACTGCAAGGCTCTGGGAGGGAGACAACCCAAAAATAAATGCATGATAAAGAAACTAATGAGTCCATGGTGGAGTAAAGACTTTGCTCATAGACTGAAGGGTCTCGGCATCAGAAGTAAGACAAATAACTTACTTTCCAAAGTATGTAACGATATATCGGATGAGGTTCCCTTGTTTCTCCAGCTTGTTATCCGTTACCATTGGCATCACTTTGTCGTAATACTTGGCCAGGTAGAAGTTTCCAT